CGTTTGAGATACTAGTACGCGCTCTAAGATTGCTTCTGTAAACCACCATCTTGAATTTACTTTCCTCTTTTTCTATACATTTTCGAGACATGAACTGACCCAGGACTTCACATTTTGTTCATATACTCGGTTTAGAACTAGTTTGTGTGTTTGCTCACCATTTTATCCAGTCTCTCCATCAACCAATTCCGGTGATTTAAAACGGTAATTTCAGTTTTTGTGCTTGAAACTCAGCATCTCATCTTCAACTTAAGCGCTTTATCGTTCTCTAAAAGGTTCTGTGTTTAACCAGCATTCACTGCGCCTGGACGAAATTTTAAAACCTTCGGCGTTCAGATCACCAACCTAGATGATTTCTTTTTATACAACAGCTTTTGTTCAGTTTACCCACACAGTCGACTGCTCCAGCCCCTCTCGTATCTCAGATTAATTTCCATCATCCTTCAGCGGCTCATCGTCTTCAATTTTCACACTGCATTTTGCATCCCAACACCTGTTTCTTTGCACATTCTCACGTCACGAATCAACCGATATCAGTACCTTGGACGAATTCCTAGCATCCCATCATACGAGTAAAGTTGCTTTTCTGCTGAGTTGTGCGCAAACTGCGGAGTTACGAGAAATGCAACCTCGATCTGTTTCGTCTCCTACGTAAAATGTTTTGCACTCAATCATAGATGAAACAAGTTGTTTGTGATCATCATTCATATCTACTATACAGTAGCCTTGATGACTATCAAACTTAGCATGGGAAATGTATTTCGTGTAGTACTCAAATAAATATTTTCCCTTTCTTTTACCTAACAAAAGATTGCGTAATCAAATATCAAGAAGCAAAACGCGGTCAATTCGGTATCTACCGGAGGTAACGAAGTTACATGGTGGTGAGAGTCAAACACACAAGGGCTGATGGGATGTCGACCGTTTGGCCACCATCGTACTCCATTCCAGATAATTTCTTGAAGTGCGTCAGGTTTCGCGAAAGCATAAGTAAAAAATTACTCCTCGTTTGATTCGCGATGAGTCCCATTTTTGCATGACCGGTCGAACTCATGCAGCCCAGTTTATCGATGTTTAGGTGCAACCGCGCTAGCTGAACTGTCCTCTTCGCAATTCGACGTGTTGATTGAAAACCTGCTTGAACGGTTTTTCAACTGTATTATTTCACATTAAGTTCGTGTATTTTATGGCATGATGAATACTTGATTCAAGTTGCACAAACACACCAGTGGATGTACCTTTTGCTTATTCTAACACTATGAATAGCGTCATACGCACACACGGATATTTGATTGTCATCGGCAAAGATTAATTTGCTGTCTTGATAAATTGTTTTAGTTAGTAAAAAAGCATCCAGTAGCATGGCATTCGACCCACAGTAATGATGCTCTCACCTGCGCGCGAGCACTAAGTACTGGCATCTGGGAAGCTCACAAGAGATAACTGGTGTTTTCATCTGGTCTAAACAGATTTTAAACATCAAACGAAATAACCACATGGGAAAGAAATGCGAAATGCAGGACATCTCGAACTGCTCCACGATGGAAGAAACTGGAAAATTCACAGGATGGCTCAAATAGAAAAGCAAAGCAGGGTACGCAACGGTTCTTCATTCGCGAGTTCATTTTTGATGCATTCAACAAATACATTCAAGAACCGAGTCAATTGTTTGTTTCTGTGATGTGTTCCAGAGTGGAGAAACGATATTTTTCTTTCCAATATTTAAACAGATTCAATGACCAGCCTAGTTTTACTCTGAAAAACAGGGGTTCTTAGTCAGAGTTCCAAGGATCGGATATCGCCTAAGCCAGTTTATAAAACTATTGGAATAAAATTATCTATAAGGCAAAACTTTTCTTGAAAATAAGCCCATTTTTATCATAAAGTGAAATCAAAAATTGAAATCCACGGAAGATTCTAGAGATTTCATGGAATGTGGTGAAAATTACGAGTTACATGAATCCCTAATTTATTCAACTGTATCGGTGTATTGCGGCCTAGAGCATTCCAATATCGGTTATCTCGCTCATTTTCTAGAACGCCCAAGTCACATTCATGTCTCAGTTTTCAGCTACAGTTTTTACAACCTTTAACCATGCACTTCTATGCGCCGGTTTTGGTAGCTGTTTTTTGGCCGCCCACTTGGATAAGAGAGAAGAATAGAGATTGGAATGTTGAGAGCAAGTGAAGATAGAGAATTCATATAGACTGCGGTTGAAAGAATAACGAGTAGATGCACGAGCACCACTGTTTGGGACACAAAGCCGTATCACTGAGCGTTTTTAACCCCCAGTTAACATGATCTCGGGTCCCCATTCAAAGACCCTATGTGCCCCAGTGTCCCTAGTTTAATCACCTCCCTGTGTTCTCCAGATCCAACCTCATCCTCACCCCTCACTCTCCGTGTATCAGGCGATTCGGCATCCGAAGCTCGCGGTGTTGCTGGTGTTTGGATTGCGCTGCGAGAGTTCACTTCTCGACTGAATCCCGGTTAACAGAGGACTTTGTGCTGTACCCCTGGATGGTTCAGTGCAGATCAGCAGCTACAGATCGAAGAGTCGATGCTTCTTCGTCGCATCCGTGTATGCAGCGACTGATTACAGTACACCTGAAATGAAGGATGAATTCTACAGGGACCTCTCTCAACTGCCGCAAAGTGCTCGGTCAACGGACATCTCGGTAATCACTGGAGACTACAATGCTCAAGTGAGATTCCTGGACGAATCAAACAGGCTTCTTGGCGAACAACATGCAATCCCAGCTATCCGGACTGATAATGGAAAACGCCAACTCCAACTTCGTGGTGACCACCGACTGTTTCTGTCATGCACCAGCTTATCGCACAAGGAACGACACCACCTTACATGGAGACCGCCAACCATCAACCGGAGGACTGAATGAACACTAGACGAAAATCAAGTAATCGATCCAAACGTCGATCAAAACAACGGAAAATTCTGGCGCACGAATAAATAAAAAACGATAGATCTCCTCGACCTCGGTAACCCTCCTGCACGCTCGCAGAGCCATTCCTTCGGATTCAACATACGACAAAGCGCGCCAATCCCTTAAACGCCAGCTCATCAAGAGCCTGAGGAATGACCGCGAGAAGTAGTGGGTAGAAGTGTAGAGAGATGGAGAAGGCTGCGGCTATGGGTAATAATTGCAATCTTTTCCGATTAACTAGTAGTACGGGTTCAAGGAAAGCAGGCGTGAAAAAATTAGAGTCCGACGGAATACTGATTCATATTCATCAACGCCGTCTAGATCGATGGGCAGAACACTTCAAGGCTCAGTTCAACTGGCCCCCATCGACACAAGACCTCCTCCTACCCGTTTCAACTGTGCAAATACTGCCAATTGACATAAGTCCTCCATCTGAGATGGAGGTTACCCGAGACATAAACTATCTCAAACGGCATAAGGCTTCCGGCCCCGACGGGCTGTCCCCATCGGTTTTTAAGGATGGAGGTTCAGCCTTGGTTTTGGAGTTAACAAAACTCCTGGGCTCAGAGTGGGAGAGGAACAGGTTCCAACTGAATTGTGTGAATCGGTGATCATACTGATTTACAAGAAAGGCGACAGGTCATCCTGTGAAAACCATAGAAGAATTAGTTTAACCAACATTGCCTCTAAACTTCTCGCCGGCATCACGAGAAAAGTGCACGTGAGAACCAGGCTGGTTTTAGACCTGGTCGAAGTTGTATCGCCCACATATTCACTCTTCGTCAAATCCTAGAACACAGACACTCCTTTCGCACACCCATAATTTCCAGCTCTTTCCCCGTTTCTATTCAACTTTGTCAAGGAAGCAATTATTGAAACAGCCCTATCCCCGTGCGAGGATAGCGGTAAGGATTTACTCCCGGGTGGCAAACAGTCTGATCTAGAGTATGCAGACGACATTGTGCTACTAAGTGAAGATCCAGGTAAGTTACAAGCGCTTCTGGATAGTTTGAGTGTTAGTGTATCTATGTTCGGTATGCGTTTTGCACCCTCGAAGTGTAAAATGTTGCTCCAAGATTGGGTTGGTCCAGGCCCCAACGTCACCCTGATTGGGGAAGTAATAGAGGAAGTAGACAAATTTTGCTATCCGGACAGCTGTTCCTCACCTGGCAGACGCATCATAGATGAAGTGTCGTTGCGCATATAAAAGGCGCGGTTGGCATTTACCAACCACCGTCGTGAAATTTGCCTGCCTGTGAAGGGTCGAGTATACGCTGTAGCAGTTCGGTCAGTGCTCTTTTAGAGTGCGGAGACTTGGTCACTACGGGAACAGGATAAAAATAGATCGTCTGTGTTCGAACAACGCTGTCTACGTCGCATTGCACGAGTTTGGTGAGGTAACCGCACGAGCAATGCTGAGATTAGACGTACAGTTTTAGGCACTCGTGGTCGTCCACCAGAGCAAGTAGTTGGCCTCCATAGATTACGTTGGTTGTGATATGTGTTACGCACGTCACCAGCGATGTTCGCCGAGGTAGGTAGCGGTTGGAAAAGGATCAAGGGCGGTCAAACCCAGACCTGGCATGAGTGTATGAAAACCCTAACCAGGAGTTCGGGCCACATAGGTCCCGTTAGGCTCCCTGGCTGGGGATCCAGAGATGATGGTCATTGATGGTTAGAAACAATGAGCGGTATGGCTGGGTGGCGCTCATGCATCTAATCATTATTTTTGAAACTTCATTCTGTGTAAATGAGCTATTTTCCGCTTGAATTTGCTCTCAACATTCTAATCCTCATTCTGATGTTGTATTTAAATGGGCAACCAAAACCAGCGCAAGGAAGTGCATGATTATTGGTTGTAAAAACTGAACTGACACGGTGTCCTGGTTAGGGTTTTCATATCCTCCTACCAAGTCCTCATTTACCTGCCCTGAACTCTTTTCAATCAACTGCCTGTCTCGGCAAGCATCGCTCGCCGCGGTAACCTATCTGATGACATGCGCAGCACATGTTTCAACCAGTGGTCGACAGCTTCCTCCACTGGACGACCGTGATTACCACAAATTCTGCGCCTCACTCAGACTGGTGCCTCCGAAAGCCTCAGTGTGGTCGGAAGTGGGTGGGTGTCTAGGGTTGCGCCTGTTCACCCTGCCCTTGCACCCAGTGAAATGCTCCCATACGATCAATCGTCTCAAATAGCCTCTGCTGAGGAAGCCCTTCTCATTGCCTTCTCGTGGTGGAGGTGTTTTCCTATCAAAGTGAGAGGACGAAAAGCCGATATCCGGGGCTATAACTGGGTTGTTGGACCACTGGTAGTTCACCTAGGAGAGTTGGCCAAAAGCCCTGATTTCAAACCAACCAAGAGGAGGCGTACGAACCACATACACACCATTCCGGCAGTGGCAGTGATCACTGGCTCGTTCGGGCATCGAGATGTACTGAGCACCTTAGACGTTTAACCCCGTTCGAAAAGTGCATGATCCGATGAACTGGACACCGGCCCCCAATGGATTGCGGTTTTCACACACCGCCTCTCTGCCTTGCTGGTTAGGCTTTGGCTAGCCGAAGGCTCCAGTTGTACGTTCCTGGCAGCATTCAGCCAACATGCAAATCAGAAAACTTCTTTTTTTGTAGGGATTATTGTATCATGGTTTGTTTGGCACAGT